CTAAAATTGTTTGAATTTAACTCTAGAGAATTGAGTTCAGTTATACAATTCTCACTTAGCATTAGAAGTGGAGGAGAAAAATTGGCCTGACACCGTATTCTGTATTATTCTCATCATCATCAACATGACCATCCACACCATATTCCTGCAAATCATCTGATGACAGATCCACTCCAATTGGATTCTGTGCTTGTCCAGCAATCCATAGTCTCAGTGGGCTGGTCCTGGTTGTCCGCATTCTGTGTTTAGCCCAAGCTTGTCGCCACAGGTTTAGTTTATTATTAATATCTTGCATGTAAGTATGGTGCAGAGCAGCAATATGTTGATCATTTAGTGGGTCCAGCAGAGATTGATCTTGAAGAAAATAAAACAAATTGTAATAGTAGCTGAGAACACCTTGGAACACGTCACGTGGTGTGTGCTGCGGCCGGTTATTATGCTTCCATGATCACTTCCTCTTTTCTCAATCATGTAGTCTGTGATACGAACGTTCTCTAAGCCTTTGTCAGTCCTTACCCTACTTGGCAATCCATACTCAGTGATGGCATCCAAAAAACATGAAAGCAGGGTCTCAGCTTTGTTGTTGTTTGTACAAACCAACATAACTGGTAATCGACTGAACCCGTCTATTCCTCCAACTATAATAAAATTCCACCTTACAAGTTTATGGTTTGTATCAACGTGCCATAGATGGTTGGGCCCTTTAACATTGTATATACGGCGATGAAGCCTTCCCTTCTTTCTGCTTGCTACACCTTGGCCGTCCACTCGATGTATGGAATCACAAAGTCGATTTCTTTGAACCTTTATCCCTTTTCCTTGAAGCAACTGTTTCAACATACTTTCACCACAAAATGGAAATTCCATGGCAATTTCGCTGACATGAACATCCAGCTCCTCATCTGGAATATCAGAAAAGTTAAGTTTGCTGAGACCATAACTCCTCATTCGACGGTAGATAGTACTTTCTGACAAGGATAGCATTGTTGCAATCTCGCTGATAAGAAAATCTTCTTCAAGCAAACTCTCCAATACCTCCTTTGGTATTTCGAACATTGCATGACCACTTCCATTACTCCTTCTTGTTGGCTTCGCTGTCCCATACTTCGTGCACTCCATTCTCAGGGACATGATTTCACTGTGGTTATGCAAGCCCAATTGATAAAAATCGTACTGTCGAGAATTGCCTCCGTTAAAGTAATCTTCGACAAAATCACAAAGTTTTATAATATATTTTGTAGTTAATCACGTTAAGTATTCCAACTGGTTATTACAACTTCTCACGAATTCTCTAGTCACAACATTAGATAGCACACGGGCTATTAGATCTCTCTCCTCACTCTCCTCACTCCCTGAACGTCACAGTCCAACTGCTCAGTCTCTCTCTCGTGACCACCTATATCTTCATCTCATCAATCATTATACTATACTTCATGCGATACCTAATTAAATAATAAAGATCTATATGAATATTATGTGTCAATTCCCGACACACTCCCCCATATAGCTCAAATGAGGTATATGTCCATGAAGGGAATGACTTCGTTTTTTTTTTCTTTCTTGAAGTTCATTGTTCACTTCCTATAACAAAGACATATAATTTTAACTAAATTTAACTAAACGAAATTATGTGTTCATTGGCAGTCTTCTTCCACTTCTGCGTCTCGCTTCAACCGCATCTTCGCTGCTACTGCTGCGTCTCGGGTGGGGCGAGGGGTAAAGATTGGTGCTTCGGGGTTAGGGCTCCACTTCTTTCTGTCGCAGGACAACTCCAACGGGTAGATATGCTGGACTGCTCGCTCGAGGTCGCCGTTCGGAGTCCGTACTCTAACTCCCCGTACTACGTTATCCTTTCCCTCAATCACGCCGCACACGACTCAGAGTTTCCACACGTTACGTCTTTTGTCTTTGTCTTTAATCATGACAACTTCGCCGATCTTTGGGTAGGATTTCTGTCCACTGACTCGTTGTTTGTGCCGTTCGCGCAGACTGCGGACGTATTCTTTCGTCCAACGATTCCACATCGCTTCTTTACACCTTCGTAAAAACCTGGCTCTTTTGCGCAATTCACTATCTCTCAGATGGTGGGCGTCGACTTCTGGTAGGACATTGGGGTTAATGCTCAGCATTGAGCATGGGGTTATTACTGGTAATTGAATGTCGTCCTCGAGGTAGGTCAACGGCCGATTGTTGAGAGCAATCTCGACGTCCAAGACCACTTCTTCTAACTCCTCCAATGTCAGTATTCCATTGCCGATCGTTTTGTAGAACGCTTGTTTGAACAGGCCAATAAGACGCTCGAATTGGCCTCCCCACCACGGTGCACGACTGAGATTGAACCTCCGTTCGATTGCGTTATCAGCCAGGAATGCATGAAATTTCTCATCCTTTCGTGATTGCTTCAACCACTTGTCAGCGGCCTTAAAGGTTTTGGCGTTGTCAGAGTATATGATCTTTGGCCGACCACGTCTCGCGATCAATCTTTTCAAGCTCGGTATGAATTCTGCTACTTCCATTGAACGCAGGATCTCGAGATGTACTGCTCGCGTTAAACTGCACCCATATAGCACAAGGTACGCCTTTCTCTCCGCCTTTGCTTTTGTACGGTATCGTATTGGTCCCGCGAAATCCACCCCAACTACTTGAAACGGTGTTGACCCTTGCGTCCTTGTTGTTGGCAACTTACCAGGTGGTGGCTTCTCATACGCTCGAGCTCGAAATCTTACGCACCCGTGGCAAGCCTTTCGCACTTGTTTCACCAACCGTCTCAACTTTGGTATCCAAAACCGTTCACGTACTTTCGCCATGGTCATAGCGACCCCACCATGGAGTGTTGCCAAATGCGCTCGTTCGATTACCTTTTTCGTGAAGGTGGAATTACGGGGTAGGTACATGGGGTAATCTCCGTCAATCCGACCGCGACATTCGAGAATTCCGCTTTCATTAAGCTGTATGTTCAATTGTAGCCGTATATCCTTGAACTCTGGACCCTCCTTGACTTCACTTTGCGCTCTTCTTATCCACCACAACTCGCTATCTTCGATCTCTTCTGACACTAGCGGTCCCATTTTCCGGTTTTTACGGGTCACCATACAATTCTTCACGAACCGATTGATCCAGGCGCAAATTCTAAGCACTTTCCGCAGGGAAAACTTGATGAGCAGTCCTTCAAGGCTATCAGGGCTTATTGGTCGTCTCACCGTCGTCAAGGCTTGTGGATTCTTCGTCGGTTTTATCTCGTATTTCACCTCTCGTGTAGCTTCGAGCACTTGTTTTGGCGGCCATTTGGTAGGATCTTTTAACCATTGGGGCCCATTACTCCACAGTTCGTTTCCAACGACACTTCCACCACAACTACCCACGTCTGCGGGATTCTGTTTCGTCGGTACATGATGCCATTCCACTCGTGTATGTGCTTGAATCTTGGCCACTCGGTTTGCAACGAACTGGCGATATTCGCCTTGACCGTTAATCCAGTAGAGCGCTACTGTGGAATCTAACCAACAATGGACAGACGATACGGCTCGCTGATCTATTGCACTTTCTACGTTCGACACCAAATTAACTGCCATATGTCCAGCGACGAGCTCTAGACGAGGGATGGAGAGATCACGCTTCGCCACTCGTGACTTGGCGCACACCAAGCCTTGTGTTGTTCCATGTTCCTGCTCCACAACCGCGTAGACCACGGCCGACACTCCGACCTTACTCGCGTCGCCAAAGGCATGTAGTGTGATGGCTGACACTGGCTCTTGATGCGGAGCTAAGGAACGCGGAACTTCGTAGCTTCGAGGCAGTCCTTTGCACCACTCCTCCCAGCGTTGTTTCGTTGTCTCAGGCAGTTCACCGTCCCAGGGAAGACGAGCCTCGCACATCTCTCGAAAAAGGTTCTTTCCCTGCAACGTCATTGGCGATACCAATCCGAGTGGGTCGTATACTCTCGCAAGTTGGGATAACGCACTTCTTTTGGTCGTCCCATGTTCCCCACAACTGAGCGTAACACCTACTTGGTCTGTCGACTTGTCCCATGGGAGGCCCAGAAGAACACTCAACACACCGTTTAGTAGGAAGGGAGAACTCGTTAGCTCAAACAACGCTCTCGTGAACCGGTATACAATTGTGTCATCACTTCCAGGCGGTTTCCAATGAAACCTGAGTGCATCACGCTCGGATTCTTTAATCCTAACCTGTAGGAACGCTTTTTGGAGATCACCCGTGACCAGGATTGGAAGGAATCGAGATCGAACAAGAATCGACCAGAGAAGATTTTGCAAACAGGGACCTGGGTTCAGGCAATCATTCAGAGACGGCGACGTCTTGGATTCCCTCGCTGACGCGTCATACACAATCCGAAGCTTAGTCGTTTCTGCAGAGTTCTTGACGACCGCTTTGTGGGGGATGTAGAATTCCCTGTCACTCGCTACTGATGGAGCTAACTCGACCACTCCGTCCTCCAACTGCTGCTTTATGACGTCGTTGTAATCGTCGTACCGACCACTGGATTTTAGTCGCTTTACCAAATTCTCCAATCGTTGTCGACTCCCCATTTCATTGGCAGGCAGCGGGGGTGATTTGGTTTCCACGGGAGCCCCGTTTCATACCATCCCTCAGAACTTCGCTCGAGCTGTTCCTGGAATTCCTGGTACACAGGAAGCTGATCGTTTTCTGCACTGTCTGCGATACCAAGTACGTCCAGATGGCATAGCTTGTCGAAGTCTACTTGTGAGGTCTGCGTCATGAGCATCTTCGTTTTCTCAAACTCGGTCCCAGGACTTAGAATCATCCATCCAAGCTTAGTTCTCTCTGCCACTGGATCTCCTTCTCTCCCGATGAGAGGCTTCGTAGCTGTCTTTATTCGGGCATAGTCGCCGCTTCCGAGGATGACGTGGATGGGTAATTGGGTTTTCGTGGAGTGATCATCCATATGTACCTCGCTAAGGTGTTGGTAACGCCTTATCAACTTTTCGTACTCGGGGTTTTCGATGAACAGAAGCTTTACTTTACAGAAACTTTACGAAATCCCAGGATTCCCACTCAGGGTCATCACGCACCAAATCCCCTCGAATTCGCGATATCTTATTTAGAGTCATTGGTACGTACCCCTTTATATCGCTAAGTTTCCCCATAGTCTCAAGTGCTTGAACAGAGTGTGTAAGTCTATCACAAAAGTTAGCAATCTTACGAGGGTTGGTTCCCGAAATATTTGGTAAATCCAAAACCTCATTCACGTAACATTTCTCGATTTCCGACTCCCTGCCGAATTTCTCTTTCAAAATAGCTTTTGCTCTATTATAACCCTCAAGCCCAAAGGGAAGAGACTCGACACTACGCTTTACCTTCGGTTCTAGCAGCTCTAGCAGATACGTGAATTTCGTCATTGGTGCTAGTGAACTTTTGTCAACCGCCTCAGAAAATTGTCCCCAAAATTTCGGCCAGTCAGTAAAGGAGCCGCCAAACTTGGAGATGACGAGTTTGGGTAATTTTGCCGCCCCAGTCGAAACTACTTTGGGTTCTTTACCTTCCTTTTGAGGTTTGGGGGCCGAAGACAATTCAGCTTGCATTTTCATTCGCGCTTCATGCAACAACTGTTCCTGTTTTAACTCTTCCGCATGCGTTAGATCTCTTTTGGCCTTTTCGGCTTCAGAAAGGAATTGTTCTAGATTTTGGATGGCCGTGTCTACAGCGTCAAATTTCAGATCTAACTCATCGTTCCATTCCTTAATTTTTTCGAGATCTTCCTTTTGTTCGATTTTTAACGCTTCCGCGGAGCGTCTGCACTCATTAGCCTCGTTGGCCGTTGCTTGCAACGCGTCGAGGTGTCGCTTAATTGCTACTCGCTTACCTGCTCTCAGCAGTGTCTTCGACTTCTCTGTTGCGATTTTTAACTGCGTCAACTTGTTCACGAGATTGGTTTGTTCTTTTCCGTCCATGTTAACTCCAAAGTTCAAGCGTTCATATGTTTGCTCAAAAGTTCAATGTATCCCGTCGGAGGTGCCACTATGTCGAGAATTGCTTCCGTTAAAGTAATCTTCGACAAAATCACAAAGTTTTATAATATATTTTGTAGTTAATCACGTTAAGTATTCCAACTGGTTATTACAACTTCTCACGAATTCTCTAGTCACAACATTAGATAGCACACGGGCTATTAGATCTCTCTCACTCACTCCCTGAACGTCACAGTCCAACTGCTCAGTCTCTCTCTCGTGACCACCTATATCTTCATCTCATCAATCATTATACTATACTTCATGCGATACCTAATTAAATAATAAAGATCTATATGAATATTATGTGTCAATTCCCGACAGTACAATGAAAGTTCGCAGAGGATGTCTGGAGTAATACGATGGTCTATAAAATGTTAAATGAGTGTGGAAAATCCAAGCTTTTGCAAAATTTTGCTCATGTTAGAAATTTTCATGGAAGAAATGTCAGAAATAGACGCCATTTTATTCAACTGTTTTTCTGAGCCCACTGTCTATGCTGCGGTACGTCGTGTTATTTATGATATTCTAACCACACATAACGAAGTTACCGCATAACGAAGTTACCACATAACGAAGTAAGCACATAACGAAGTTACCGCATAACGAAGTTACCGCATAACGAAGTAAGCACATAACGAAGTAAGCACATAACGAAGTAAGCACATAACGAAGTAAGCACATAACGAAGTAAGCACATAACGAAGTAAGCACATAACGAAGTAAGGACATAACGAAGTTACCACATAACAAAGTTACCACATAACGAAGTTACCGCATAACTTTACCGCATAACGAAGTAAGCACATAACGAAGTAAGCACATAACAAATGAAGCACCGCATATAATGAATAAAGCACCACATATAATTAATAAAGCACCGCATATAATGAATAAAGCACCGCATATAATAACGGATGGACGGGCATATAACAACGGATGGACCGCATATAATAACCGACAGACTGCATATAACTACGGGTGGACCGCATCTAATTACAGATGGACAGCATGTAATGAATAAAGTACCACATGTAATAAAGAATGGACCGCATATAAGGCAAAATGCACCCCAAATAACAACAAATTAACAAGATGTAATGACAAATGACCACTTAAGACAGTCCTGGCATTCCATAAAATACCCTGAATTTCCAAATCTTTCTTTCCACATTAAATATACTCTATGAAATCTTTCATTAATGCAAAAATGATCAAGTATGTAAAAGAATTAATTTAAATTTTATCACAAAAAAAATTAACTCCACCGTAAACGGAAAATAACGAAAATATGTATGTAAAGCCAAACGGGAGAAGACAATAATATTTTTTTTTCAACTTCAAACATTGATCATTCTCATACTCAAACAATTTTACAACTTTATTAAAATCACGCAATCCCATTCTAAAACCTTTAAAACGAGAATCAATATCTTTTTTAATTCGACGTTCTTCAACAGCCGTTAAAAGCTCAATTCGGAAATCACGATCTGGAATTTCACAAAACGAAATAAGCTCTTCATCCTCGCGTAAAAATGGAAAGGGAATCCCACTTCGAGGAAAAAAAGCAGAATCTAAATTACCATAATATATATTAGGTGCTTTCACAGGGTAATAACCGGAAGAAGAGTAATAAAAACTGTAAATGTCATATGACTTTTCTGCTCCTCTAAATAATTCCGAACGTCTATAAAGAATAGACGTTTCCCGCCGCCATCTGGAATAACTTTCAGCAATATGTTCCCGCATTTTATTGACACCATATTCATGCATCAACATAATTCTTCGAGAACACACCATATCATTCATCACGCTAAAAAAATCAATTTAACTCAGTCAAATAGAATATCCCATTATACGCATCGTTTCAACATAATTCTTCAAGAACACACCATATCATTCATCACGCTGAAAAAGATCAATTTAACTCAACCAAATAGAATAATCCAATTATGCATCGTTTCAACATAATTCTTCCAGAACACACCATATCATTCATCACGCTAAAAAAATTATCTAATTAACTAGAACAAAAAACATTATCTAATTCTGCATCGTTAAAAAATTGAAAAACTCAAATATTCTACCACAAAATATTTCGTAACTTCGATTTTTTTATGAAAAGGGGCGGGACTTATCATTTCATAAGAAAAAAATCCAAAATTTTTCTTCATTCGCAACATGGCACATTCTACTGCACAACCAACAATTGGGAACATTGACCCATTGAAATTATGGAACGAATTTATGGCATACACGAAAAGTAAAATGCAAGAATCCCAAGACATTCGCCTACCATCAACTCAACCTCCGCAAGAACAAACACACGAAATTCGAGATCAGCAACAATTCAACGATTTATCCTTCTTAAACTCACCAATTTCGCTTCCTTCCTCGTCCCCTCTCCTTTCAAACCACACACTTTTATCACCGCGAACAATACCAAACCTACTTACCTCAAGTTCACCAGCTCGAAATCCACCCCCAAATCAAGTGATCGCGATGGATCCAACACCAACGGAGAGATCAACTATGGCGCAATTCACTCCGATTCAATCCGATCTTCTCTCACGAGCATTTCATGGCGAGGGAAGCGGCAAAAACATCATCGCCATGAAACAAACTATTGAAAAACATTCGGATGAGATTAGTAGCGAAAACGATATTGAAAGTCTGTTTGCGGAAATTAGTGATTCGGATGATGAAATCGAAGAAGAAGATGAAAACGAGAAAATGGAATCAAACAAGCTAAACGAAGAATTAAAAAAAAGAAAATCGGAATTCACAGAACACGAACTTCGTTTATGCTCAACCAAAGGGTATACAAAAAAAACAACCAAGTCTACTCGCAAAATAGAAATAATTACCCGATATTAGTGTACGATCAACGTTCTTTCTCAGCAATTGCAAATCTCTCCTGCGAACTTCGAGATCGCCTCAATGAAAAAAAAAAGATACTTAAAGCAATATACAATATTAATCAAGGTATAAATTATGTGAGACACCGAAATAAACTTAAAAAAATAGGTACGCTATATGTACATGTGGCTAACCAATAGATAAATATTAAGGGTAACCATGCGTTCCGCATACAGAACATCCTCGTATGCAAGGGATCTAATTTTGGAAGTTATATTTCGTATACAATGCCTACAATAATTACAATTACTAGATTTGACAACAATAGTTAACTGAAATGTAACAGCCAATAACATTAGGGTTGCGATAGGTTAGTAACGAGCACATTGGTAACACAAAGAATTTGTTTCCTAAAATGTTTAGGGTTTTCAGTTTCTTTTTAACTAAATTAATGTTTTTTTTAAAAATCATCTTCATGTCGAACAATCTATGCAGTCGTTCGTTACGATTTGTGCCATATTTCACAGCATCTGGTTTAAACGTCACTGACTGTTGAGGGGAAGCTTTTGTCCCGCATAGTGTTCAAGGAACCTTTCTATATAATTAATCATGTCGTGACAATTTACATTTTTTATCCGACAGTTATTTGATATATATTCTGTTAGTACTGTGGAACAATAATTTCCTCTTCACTTAATTGCATATCTTGATCAAATGAGATCTTCGTATTATCCAATATCATAACTTCTGTCCACATTTGTTCTGTGACTTATGTTATCTGCTGCCACCATATACGGTGAAGATCATATCGTCCAAAATTGCGTTACACCAGTCGTTCGAAGCAGACGCTGTGCATGGTCGTCGTTTTGAATATAATTTATTTAGTCTACAATAGAAGGAACAAAAAGGTTAACTGATTATACAAGCATAAATTTAAACAAATTTTACTATGGCTACGAAAATATAAGCATGCTATAGCTACTTGCAGTTTTTAAAATGCGAAAAGCAAAGATTCGTTATGAACACTCTATTGCAAACTAAATGGATATGCGGCAATACAAGTTAAGGTATTAACAAAAACACGAGGTTTATGTAAGACAAAATCAATGAATTCCGCGTTATATTAAAACAGATTTCTTCGGGTGTAATGCCATATTACTTGAATGGAAATATTCTTCCTGTAAGAGAGTTACAAGCCGATTTTCATGCATCATTTACATGATTTACCTCTATTCGTTTGTCGGACCACCAAATGGCATGTGAAGTTATCGTTCATAAGGAAGTTTGAAATGTAATTGAATTGTAGGCATTTCTGTAAATAAAAAAATAATTAATCAGATAAAGAAGAATAAAAGATGGAAAAGAGTGAGGGAGGACAAGAAAAATAGAAAACTTACCTGTTATATGTATTTCATACATGTTGTATTTATTAGTAATATTTTTAGCAAACTATTTTAGAATGTTCGCAGTTAATGTTGGGGGTGTTTTTCAGGTAATGAAGATTAAACCTGTTTTATTACTCTAGCCATGTTTTTCTGTGGCTACATACTTGCTACTTCTTTAACAGAAGCCCATATTGCTTTATGATCACTGAAGTAGGTCTCTAGAATTCCAGCATGGATTTCTTCCTCGATCATATTTGTAAACAAATGATCAATTAATGTTCTATTATCGGTCGTAAAACTTGATATTAGTTGTTTGTAGCTACTTTCTATGATCATGAGATTATAAAGAGATTGTCGCTCGCATTCCAAGACTATGTTTTGTGAAGAGGAACTTTCCTCTAGAATCGTACGAAGTGCAGTTAGTAGGCGTGACGTGGCAATTTTAGGTGAACAATATAAGGCAAATATAGTGAGATGTGGATGATCTTCAGTTTTAATTATAGTAAACTCAATTCCATTTATGTTATGAGCATACGGATATCCATCTACCATTGGGATTCTTATATAAACAGCTGTACCACCATAAGGACGTCCAGTACCAGAATAGTGCGTAATGTCACTTCTAAATAGCCTGTAACCCTCAATACTGTACATTTCATCAGGGTCTAAAGCACTAAATCTTGTTTCAGTAAATATAAG